GTGTACAGGTAAATCATTCTTTATCTTCTTTTCCTCTCCAAAATGATTAGCCCAGCTCTTAATTTTTGCTCCTTGATCTATTGATTAACAAACATTTTATTGTTGTCCTCCTTTTGAAAGCACCCTTCTTTCCATTCCACTTGTGAAATTCTGTAATAGCCACAGTCATGACATAGATGATAAAGGATGAGTAGGACATAGGCTTAAGAAACTAGGGCCAAGTAGGGACAGTGGTGATATAGTCACCCGGTAGCAGCTGCTTGTGATGGTGACAGGGGCCTTTGGGCAGACAGCAACCAAAATAAAATAGAAATGATTCTGAAAATCAGAGCTAAAACACGGGCAACAAGTTCAGAGAACAATGCCTATAGGACCTTGGCTTTACAGGCAAATTCTACCAAACTTTAAAGAAGAATGAATACCTATACTTCTTAAACTATTCCAAAAAATAGAAGGGGAAGGAAAACCTCCAAATTCAGTCTATGAGGCCAACATTACCCTGATATCAAAACCTGATAAACACCACATCAGAAAAGAGAACTACAGGCCAAAAATTCCTGATGAACATAGATACAAAAATTCTCAACAAAATACTAGCAAACTGAATTCAACAATACATTAAAAAAATCATTCACCCTGATCAATTGGGATTTATTCCTGGGCTGCAAGGGTGGTTTGATATTCACAAATCCATCAATGTGAAACATCACATCAATAAAAGAAAGGATAAGAACCACATAATCATCTCAATAGACGCAGAAAAAGCATTTGACGAAGTACAACATCCATTCATGATAAAAACCTTCAACAAAGTAGATTTGAAGGGAATATACCTCAACATGGTAAAGGCCATATATGAAAAAACCCACAGCTAACATCATCCTTAATGGGGAAAAACTGAGAGCTTTTCCCCTAAGGTCAGGAACAACACAAGGATGTCCACTCTTACCACTATTATTCAGCATAGCACTGGAAGCCCTAGCCACAACAATCAGAGAAAAAGAAGATATAAAGCATCCAGATTGGTAAGGAAGAAGTAAAACTTTCACTCTTTGCAGATGACAGGATACTATATATAGAAAACCCAAAAGGCTCCACCAAAAAACTGCTAGAACTGATAAACGAATTCAGTAAAGTCACAGGATACAAAATCAATGTGCAGAAATCTTGCATTTCTACACATCAATAATGAAGCAGCCAAAAAAAGAAATTAGGAAAACAATCCCATTTATAATTGCACCCAGAATAATAAGATACCTACGAATAAACCTAACCAAAGAGGTGAAAGACCTGTACTCTGAAAACTGTAAAACAGTGATGAAAGAAATTGAAGATGACACAAAGAAATACAAAGATATTCCATGCTCATGGACTGGAAGAGCAAATATTGTTAAAATGTCTATAGTACCCAAAGCAATCTACATATTTAATGCAATCCTTATTAGAATACAGCACTTTTCACAAATTAGAACAAAGAATCCTAAAATTTTTATGGAACCACAAAAGACCCCAAAGAGCCAAAGCAATCTTAAAAAGGAAAAGTAAAGCTGGAGGCATCACAATTCTGGGCTTCAAGTTATATTACAAAGCTGTAGTAATCAAAACAGTACGGAACTGGCACAAAAACAGACACATAAATCAATGTAACAGAATAGAAAACCCAGAAATAAACCCATAATTATATGGCCAATTAATCTTTGACAAAGCAGGAAAGAATATGCAATAGAAAAAGGTCAGTCTCTTCAACAAATGGTTGGGAAAACTGGACAGCCACATGCAAAATAATGAAACTGGATGGCTTTCTTACACCATACACAAAAATAAATTCAAAATGAATTAAAGACCTAAGTGTGAGACCTGAAACCCTAAAGAACTAGAAGAGAACATAGGCAGTAACTTCTTTGACATCGGACTTTGACATAGCAACTTCTTTCTAGATATCTCCTGAGGCAAGGGAAACAAAAGCAAAAATAAACTATTGGGACTATATCAAAATAAAAAGCTTCTGCACAGTAAAGGAACCAATCAACGAAACTAAAAGGCAACCTATAAAATAGAATGTATTTGCAAATGACATATCCAATAAAGGGTTAATATGCAAAGTAAGTAAAGAACTTATAAAACTCAACACCCGCCCCCCAGTGATCCAATTAAAAATGGGCACAAGACATGAAGCGATATTTATCCAAAGAAGACATCCTGATGGCCAACAGACACATGAAAAGATGTTGTTTGTTATCACTTACCATCAGGGAAATGTAAATCAAAACTACAACGAGGTATCACCTCACTTCTGTCAGCATGACTAAAATCAATAATACAAGAAGCAACAGGTGTTGACAAGGTTGTGAAGAAAATGGAACCCTCATGCATTGTTGGTGGGAATGCAAACTGGTGCAGCCACTGGAGAAAACAGTATGGAGGTTCCTCAAAAAGTTAAAAATAGAACTACCTTATAATCTAGCAATCCCAATACTGGGTATTTACCCAAGAATACAAGAACACTGATTCAAAGGGATACATGCACCCCTGTGTTTATAGCAGCATTATTTACAATAGCTAAATTATGGAAGCACCGAAGTATCCATCGACTGATGAATGGATAAAGAAGATATATATATATTATTTGTGTGTATAATATATATATATAATGTTATATTATTCAGCCATAAAAAAGAATGAAATCTTGCCATTTGCAATAACATGGATGGAGCTAGAGAGTATAATGCTAAGTGAAATAAGCCAGTCAGAGAAAGACAAATACCATATGATTTCACTTATATGTGGGATTTAAGAAAAAATACAATGAGCTAAGGGAAAAAAATAAGAGAGAGAGGGAGACAAATCAAAAAACAGACTCTTAATTATAGAGAACAACTGATGGTTACCAGAGGGGAGGTGCGTGGGAGGATGGGTTAAATAGATAATGGGGTTTAAGGAGTGCACTAGTTGTAATGAGCACAGGGTGATGTATGGAAGTACTGAATTACTATACTGTACACCTGAAACTAATATAACACTGTATGTTAACTAACAGGAATTAAAATAAAACTTAAAAAGCGTATGGGATCTCTAAGTTGGTCTCAAAGATTAGAATCAGGGATGAGTACTCTTGTCCACATCTTTTCATCCTAAAATTTGACTCTGAATTATTTATACTCTGAAAATTTAAAAAATTGTAAGAAATTTACATACCAGGACATTTCCTGTAGGATTACAGGTAATAGTAAAAGTAGAACAATCCAAAATGTCCATCAGTAGATGTCTGGCTACATAAATTGTGTTTTCTCAAGCAATGAAAATTATGCAGCATTAAAATAAATGAAACATCTATATAATATAGTGGCATAAAAAGATATCTGAAAAATTCAAGTAATAGGAAAATATTTGTGATTTTCTAAATATTGAGACTCCCATATGTTTGTGTATCTTTAAAAAAAAAAAAGATCTGCAAGTATATACATCAAGTCATTTACATTTTTGGTTGTTTGTGGGTTGAGATTTTTTTTTGGTATTGAACTAACAGGAAATTTTCACTTTTAAATGCCTATATTATTTAAAGTTTATTAATAAATATTTACTACTTTTAAATGAGAGAAAACAATGCAAATGAACAAACAATGCAAATGAACAAACAATACAAATGGCCGGTTTTAGGATAAAGTTGAGTCTAAAAGCAGAGGGAAAAAATTAAGCAGGTATCATGCTGGTGTGAGAGAGAAGAATTCTTAAAAACGGCTGCTATGAAGGCCTGAACAATGGGAGAACCATATTCAACATGATTTATATGTGGCTTTTAAATAACAACACTATGTGCGATCTCCATGATAAACATGGTCAGGAAATCATTATATTCCACTTTAGGATTTTTTTCTCAGAAGTATCATTTTTATTATTTGAACAGGGGTTTCAAGGACATAAAAAGCAAATGGGTCATAATAAATTTTGCTTGATAAATATAATGAATACTTAGAACTGCTATAACTCTTGAAGGAAAGGGCCTGGTATAAGAGTCTCCTTTTTTAAACAGAAGGGTATTTTACTGCACACATTTTAGAAGAAAACGAGAAAGGCTGTTCATGGTAAATAACTTTCTTTTTACATTAGGAAGCAATCTAGGACTTTTTCAAATAAGATATTGATAGCTTTTATCAAAAAATATTTATAAATTGTGACAGCCTGGTACATTTTATTGTTTCCAGCTATTTAAAGACATTTCTATTTTTAAAGACTTGCAATGTTCATAAACTCTCTTTTAATCTAAGTACATACTATATGTTATACTTTTCCCTCTCAATAGATTTCCTTTGAACAATATCCAAATACTTCAACAACCATCAGAGTTTATATCTGTGAAACAAAAACTCAGTAATGAATAATATCTTACAAACAAACTGACTCCAGATTCTCTGCAGACAAGAAGTTGAATTTAACGATAATATTTTGATATGCCTAATTCAGCATCAAAATCACAAGAGTATTAAAAATATCAAAAATTCTGGTTCCAGCATCCTGGGTCTTGGAAATATGAGGCCACGAAGAGATAAAAGGAAGCAATAGTGGTGATTAACATAATAAAAAAAAAAAAAAAGGAAGCAATAGTCAGGCAGAGATCCATATAGTATACAAAGAAGCAGCTGAAAAGAAACTTCAAGATCTGAGGGATACCAGCCATGGAGTAAATGAGATCACCTTGGAGCATATGCGGAACTTGTAAAGAAACCACTGAAGCCGAAGATGGTTTGAAAGGATGTCCATATATACCACCCAGCATTTTGGCATAGTTAAATTGCTTACTAATTTTTTCAATAAACATAGAGCCAAAAACCTATAAAATACAAAGTGGTGCTAGGAATAGTGCTTAGGCCACACTCTAAGTAGAATTAATCTGGTTTCCTGCCAATATAATCTAGTATTTGTGCAACCACACCCAGCTATATGTTACAAAATTTGCCTGTAAAAGTCAATTTTTTAACAATGCAAGTTATACCAGAACTCACAAGTCAAAACGAAGGTTCTCCCTTTCTTCAAAAAAGTAGTCCAGGATAAATTTTCGTACAAAATCAGGATTTAAAGTATTATCAATCACTTCAGTCCTTCCAAACTGTAGAGAAAAAGAGAGAGAGAGAGGTTAAAATCAAGCCTTGCATGGTTACCTATTACAGTACAGTACCTAGTATTAATATAGTTCCTTGAAAACATAAGCTATAAATTTCCAAATGACTGGATAAAGTAAAGTCCTGCAGAAAATTTTCTGGAGACAAAATCACTCCCTCTTAGTCACTCAGGGATATCTGAAAATAAGCACTGAGTTCATTCAAATTATTAACAGCAGCTTCTGAAAATTCATATAACAAGCTGTAACACTTTCTCCCCTCTTTTCCCCCCTTGAAAGCCAAATCCCATTCTAGTCAAAAGAAGTTATTTCTCCCTTAAATTTTAATGTATCACAAATATTTTTCCTAACCTAGTGTATAACCAGGCCATGCAACATATATTCTTATAACTAGAGGGGTCCAAGTATTCATAATCACTAAGTCCTCTACACAAAACAGTTTATTAGCCATGTTTTGGGGAGAACTTTCTTATAATCTATTACTTCAGTCATTTGGGTTTTCTTTTGTTTTGTTTTGCTTTGCTTTAATTCTTATGGTATCTAGACACCCTAAAACAGGACCTATAATACTGTTTTTAAGCTAGTGAGTTGCACTTTTGCTTAAAAAAAAAAAGTTTCTCCATCTTAGGAGAAGTGGAAACCAAGAAACAAAACTTTCTAGTCAGGAAGGCCACCAGGTTCTGCTTCCAAAGTCAGAGCAGAAATATAAATAAATTTTACAACTCTTTATTTTTGTATTCAGCTTACATTCTTCCCCTCCTACTCCCATGGAATTCTAATAAGGTAGTTTTAACCTTTGGTTCTGAACAGCATTATGCATGCCATCTTATCAGAGAACAAACTTTTATTAAAGCTCACAGAAATATTATTTTTTAATAGGAATAAGAAAACTGTGCTAAGCCACTAAAAAGTGAAGGTCATGCTTACATAAATTTTGATAATAAAACTACTGTACAAAATACTGATGACAAAGGATTTACTACGGCTATTGCTAACTAATTATCCAAAAAAGAACTAGTTTGCAGAGGCTTATGTATCTGACAATGTTTTATATCATGGACCAATATCATACAGACAAACCACAACTTAGGTCATTAATTCAACATTTCCAAACTAGTGAACATTTACTTTAAATAATAATAGTAATTACAGCCACAACTTACCGAGTACTTACTTTGTTTCAAGTACTTTTCACACATTACTTTAAATCTTTGCCATAACCATGAAAGGTAGGTATTATTAGTCCCACTTTAAAGATGAGAAATCTTTAAAAATAAATAAATAAAGAGAAAACTGAGGCAGAGGATTCACTTTGGCTACATAATCTACATTCTTTCTAGGACTCTCCTTTATATCATGTGAGGCCTTGAGACGATCCAACAATGAGCCTATCCATGGTTTCTAATTTTTAAAAAGTGGGACTGTACCAAATAACCATGTGCTGGCAGTGCCCATGCACCCCAAAAGAGCAGTGCAGAAGTCAAGAAGCTTAAGTCTGAACCAGACATAGCCTGGGCCCTCCCAGCCTTTCCACTCTGCCTGGAAGCTCCCCAGGCCACAGCAGACAGCACCAAACCAGCAAATGCACAACACTCTTGAATAGAAATTCAGCCAGGATCCATATTCCCTGGCACCCAAATCCCTCTTGTGGCCTTGAACCCAAACTCACAAGCAGAGGAAAGAAGACAAAGTGAAATTTCCCAGTGTGAGCCCCACTGAGTAGCAAGCCAACAATTTTCCAGGGCCTATGAGCCATTAAAACATCCACAAGCCTGTTTGCTAGGGGCGGCTGGCTTGTCAGCAATATGGGTAGCTGCGTATACTCCACTATCTCAAGTGAAGATTAATAGGCAGCCATCAAAATTTTAGCTAGTCATCTACATACTATGAACACTTATTACAATATGCCTTCCCACACATAGTCCTGATGCCTTCGACCATATCACCAGTAACCTTCGCATTGCAAAATCCGGCAGTCACTCTTCGGCCCTTCTCACACTAGACTGCTCAGCAGCATGGGGCATGGCTGTCCTCTCTTTCCTTTCTGAAGAAGTCTTTTCTTACCTTTGACACCACACTCCTGTTTCTCTTCCCTTCCTAGATTCTCAGGCATGCAATCTCTCATTGTCAGAGCACAGTTCTAGGCCATCTTCATCTGTCAATCTTTACTCTTCTGTTAGATTATTTTATCTGTTCCTCTGACTTTAAATCCTATCCACATGATGGTAATGTCCAAATGCAAGCATCATCCCAGACTCACTTCTGAGTCTGGGCTGATGCACACAACTGCCTTCTTGGCTTATACATGTGGTTGTCTAACAGGCTCCTCAGAATTATTATCGAACTTTAAATACTTATTTTATACCACAACCAGGACCCCAATCCCAGTGTTACCAAGTCTACGCCTTGTCAATAAACAACACCATCATCCTCTCGGTTCCTTCGGCCATAAATGGGAGTCATCCTTCTGAACTCCTTCTTTTTAACCACCAACTCCTATTCATCACCACTTCATAAACTGGCAATTCCAACCTCAAACACATCTTCCAGCTGTCTCCTTCTCTCTGGATCTCCTGTCCACAGCTTACTTCAAGCTTTTCAGCTTTCTCATGGACCACCTCAAGGCCCTCCTAATTCACATCTTTGTGTCCTCTTGTTCTCCCTCCAATTCTTCCTCTGTATGACATCCAGAATAATCTTTTGAAAAGTGTAAATATAGTCATGCAATTTCACCTCCCAAAAGGTCTCTAATGGCTTCACATAATACCTCAAATAAAACCTCTTTTCTTTTGTCTGCAGGACTGGCTCCTTTCTACCTCTGGGATTTCATCATGGGCCAGTATCTCCTCTTTCTCTTCACCACAGCCAGCTGGCCTTCTTTTAGATCCCTTTACTCACCAAATCCTTTCCATCCCATGGCCTATGCACCTATGTGAGTAACCCCACTCTTGCTTGGCTGATTTTTCTCATCTTTTAAGCCTCTATTTAAATGTCAGCATTCTAGAAGACATGAACAGACATTTGTCCAAAGAAGACATCCAAATGGCCAACAGACACATGAAAAAGTGCTCAACATCACTCGGCATCAGGGAAATCCAAATCAAAACCTCAATGAGATCCCACCTCACACCAGTCAGAATGGCTAAAATTAACAAGTCAGGAAACGACGGATGTTGGCGGGGATGCAGAGAAAGGGGAACCTCCTACACTATTGGTGGGAATGCAAGCTGGTGCAACCACTCTGGAAAACAGTATGGAGGTTCCTCAAAAAGTTGAAAATAGAGCTACCCTACGACCCAGCAATTGCACTACTGAGTATTTACCCCAAAGATACAAATGTAGGGATCCAAAGGGGTATGTGCACCCTGATGTTTATAGCAGCAATGTCCACAATAGCCAAACTATGGAAAGAGCCAAGATGTCCATCAACAGATGAATGGATAAAGAAGATGTGGTATATATATACAATGGAATATTATGCAGCCATCAAAAGGAATGAGATCTTGCCATTTGCAACGATGTGGTTGGAACTGGAGGGTATTATGTTGAGTGAAATAAGTCAAACAGAGAAAGACATGTATCATATGACCTCACTGATATGAGGAATTCTTAATCTCAGGAAACAAACTGAGGTTGCTGGAGTGGGAGGGATGGGGTGGCTGGGTGATGGACACTGGGGAGGGTATGTGCTATGGTGAGTGCTGTGAATTGAGCAAGACTGTTGAATCACAGATCTGTACCTCTGAAACAAATAATGCAATATATGTTAAGAAAAAAAAAAGAAGATAGCAGGAGGGGAAGAATGAAGGGGGGGAAATCGGAGAGGGAGACGAACCATGAGAGACGATGGACTCTGAAAAAACAAACTGAGGGTTCTAGAGGGGATGGGGTGGAGGGATGGGTAAGCCTGGTGATGGGTATTAAAGAGGGCACGTACTGAATGGAGCACTGGGTGTTATACGCAAACAATGAATCATGGAACGCTACATCAAAAACTAATGATGTAATGGATGGTGATTAACTAACAATAAAAAAATTTAAAAAAAAATAAAATAAATGTCAGCATTCTGGCTCTAAATACTCGTGCTAATGTTGGCCCGCATCCCTAAAATTATTCTCCTTCATAGCACCTGTTTTTTCTTTCATAAAACTTATATTTTGTAATTATACTTTCATTTGTTTTATATTTCCCTCACTAGACAGTATGCTCCATGAAGGCACAAGACATACATACCTGTTTGATTTATACCTGTACAAAATTGAATAAATGATTAACTAAAGGATATCTATATTGTTCAAAGAAAAAAGAATCAAAGATCATATACAGTATAATACCAATTTTGATGAAAATATATGTTTATATAGAGAGAGATAAAAATAGAGGAAGGCATACTAGAGTGTACAAATTATCTTCTAATTTCTTTTATTATGTATTTCTGGGTTTTGCTAATTTCTTGCAATGAGTATGTTTTACTTTTAAAATCAGAAACAAGGACACCTGGGTGGCTCAGTTGGTTGGGCGTCTCCTCTTGGTTTTGGCTAGGGTCATGGTCTCAGGACCATGGGATGAGGCCCCACACAAGGCTCATTGCAGAGTCTGCTCGAGATTCTCTCTCTCCCCCCACTCTCCCTCCCCCTCTGTCCCTCCCTCCTGCTTGTGCACACTGTCTCTCTCTTTCTCTCTTAAATAAATAAAATCTTGGGCGCCTGGGTGGCTCAGTTGGTTAAGCGACTGCCTTCGGCTCAGGTCATGATCCTCGAGTCCCTGGATAGAGTCCCGCATCAGGCTCCCTGCTCGGCGGGGAGTCTGCTTCTCCTTCTGACCCTCCCCCCTCTCATGTGCTTGCTCTCTCTCATTCTCTCTCTCTCAAATAAATAAATAAAATCTTAAAAAAAATAAAAATAAAAAATAAATAAATAAAATCTTTAAAAAAATTAAAAATATAAAACGTTAAGCAGTGTTACTGTTTTTTAATTCATTCTGTTAT